AGAATGTGCAAGGTCCTCAAGGGCTGTCAGCCACCGCTAGCACTAGGATACTGCACTATTCCTTATTTGTTTTTGAAGTTATACCTACATATTTTTAAATCTCCTGTTTATTGAACTCAGAAAATAACTTCTATTTCCTGCTGGGACTCTGAATAAATCAGACATTATCTAGAAAAGCCGAAGACATGCATTATAGATGTCCACATTTTATCATCCAGGAATTCTCCTGGATACACACCATATCCACCAAGGCATGCTTATGTGTGCCAGGTACACACACGGCAATTTATTGAAGCAATGTTCATTCTAGTACCAAACTGAAGGCAAAACATACACAGACACAGACACACATACACAACAGTTGAGTGGATAAGTACATGAGGTCAAAATTCTTACAATGAAATACATTCCACAAAAAACAAACCACTCAAACTTTCCAGAGCTTTTGCATTTTTAGAATGATTGAGGAACCCCAAAGATTTTTCATGTTATATATGTATTATTTAAAATATATACTGAATTTTAAAAATGTATACTCATTCATTTAAAAACAACTATAAGCACATTACATGTTAACAGCAACAACATTTTTTATGAAAAATAATTTTTTGCTTTTGCTTTCCAAAAATAAAAGAGGAGTTGCACATTTCATATATTTTTGTAAAACTTAGGTCTGGCCTACTAAAAAAGTTTAATTTTTATATCTGTTTCTGCATTTAATCTATTATGATAGGTTGTTTTAATTGAAGTATATGAAGAAAAATCAGACTTGTACAGATATACTACTTGGTTGGAAAAGAGGAATAATTCCACAGCCTTTTCAGCTTACTGAAGTCATTTCTCTTTGAAAGTACCAAAACTGAACAAGTGACAATTTCTTTCTTTCTCTTTTTTTGGTACCAGGAATTGAACTCATGGCCTCACACTTGCCAGGCAGGCACTGCACCACTGGGCTACATCCCTGGGCCCCAAGTGACAATTTCTTAAAGATTAGATAAAATATAGCATCTGCAGCCCTAGCAGTGAATTTATGTTCTTGTTATATCAAGATCCACTGGCTTGAATGTCGAATCAATCTTTTACCCATGCATGATTTTGTAACATCATGTGTACCTCATCTGGAAAACACTGGCTCATTAAATTACGCAAGTCTTCCAAATAATGTCATTTCACTATATGACCACACACACAAAAAAATCACTTTCATTATTATCACCATCTATAGCATCAGAAAGGCTTTTAAGTACTGACAAATTGTCAAGTGGTAGATACAAGTTTCTCACAATTCTAATTTTCATATAAAAACTGAAATTTTATCACTGGCAACAAATACAGTCAGCTGTTTTCTTGGAAGTGACAAGCTCACTTTTGTTTATTTTCAAGAAAATGTCTGCCAAATACCTCTGTGTGAGTAACCATTGCTTAGCCATCAGTCATTCTAACACATCAAAATGGTGTTCTATGAAAAAGGAGCAAGGTTAGCTTGCAACTCAAATAACTAGACACACACTTTTCCTCAAAGCAACCATTATTATGTCTGTGTGCAGAACTGCTTATGCATACTTAACTATTTCATCACACAGAATGGTAAAAGACATATTCTCATGCTCCTAGTATCATTTCAAATTCTTATTCATAAGATGTATTTGATAGTGAAAAAAAAAGATGTGTTCTCAAGGGTTGAGACTTAACAAAATCAATCATTTTTCCTGTTTCATCAATGACATTCTTGAGTGAAACTGGATTTCTTTTTTAAACTGCCAATAAAAGGCAGTGAAGAATAAAATGATTACTAGTACAGATTAGGGTCACTGCCTTTATTCAAGACAAGGTGTCAGGGACTTTATCACTGCTTTTGGACCATCAGTACAAATGTCAACAGTCAAAGGGGCAAATAACATCTTCCTCATATTATGAAATGAGTTTTGATCTCTCACATCCCATGAGGAGGTTTTAGGAATACCCCAGGGGGTCCAAAACTACTGAATTACATCAACACAAAACAATATGGATAAATCTTTAAAATGTAATGCTAAGTAAAACAACAAAAAACCCCCAAAGGCACAAAAGACTACATACTATGAGAATTCATTTATACAAAAATTGAACACCAGGCAAAACAAACTTATATCGTTTAAGGATGAGCAGGTAATTAATAAAACACACTGGAAGATTTTTAACATACTTCTCTCAGTAATTGACAGATCAAGCAGACGAAAATTAGTAAGGCTATAGAAGACTTAAACAATGTAATTAAAAAGCTTAATCTAATGGCCATATATGGAATCCTACACTCAGCAATAACAGAACAGACATTCTTTGCAAACATACAGAACATTAACAAAAAGTGACAATATGTTACACAAAAGCAAGTCTGAACAAAAACAAAGACGGATATATGGACAGTAATGACTATGATACAATTACTTTAAAAATCAATAGCAAAATGATAACTTTAAAAACCAAAGTTTGGAAATTTTAAAAAGTTTGAAAAGTCTAGAGGCTGAAGAAGAAACCATAATAAAAATTATAAAATATTTAGAACTGAGCAATAAAAATGCTACATATTAAAACTTCTGGAGTGAGCTGAAAGTATTAGAGGAGACATTTACAATTTTAAACAGTTTTATTAGGAAGGAAGATGAAAATTAATGACCTGAGAAGGCAAAGGTCAGGGGGTATAAATCCAAAGAAAATATAAGGGAAGAACACAGCTGAACCTGTTAGCAACTTAACTTGTTTGAATTAAACTATGATACAATTTGCCCAAAGAAATATGCAACAAAAGGTCCTATACAGATTATTAGAGTGTCTATATCATGGAACCTCAACCAATTTCAACTGAATGATCAATCTCACCTGACCTGTTAATTCCCAAGCCCAAAACAAATGCATACCCATTTGGCAGTGGTGGATCTGCCCAGCTCCACTCTTTACAAGACTTCTTTAGAGGCCAGTATTCTGCAAGATCCTTAGCAGGAACCTTTCTGCACCTGCATGATTAGAGAGATGATCCTCCCAAACCCCTACTTCTACTTTGACCTTGATACTTTGAGAAAAACTCCAATTCTCCTGTACAGACCATAGAGGCCTCGCTTTGACAAGAAACTCAAATTCACTCAGGTTGTCTCCAGTTATGTTGGAAATGAAAAAAAAAAAATCAAACTCAATAATAGCTGCAAAATCTCAGAATTATCATGAGGAATGGTTACAAATAAAATACATTTGTCTTGTCTTTGATTACTTCATTTTCACAGCCACAATCTCCTCCCCTTTTCTGTCTGGCTCCCTTCTCTCAGAGAGCAGCCTGCTTCCTTTCCACACCGCAGTCTTCTGCTACTTTTTGGTTGTGTCATCACCTTTCCAAACCCGCATAAGTCAGTTCACCTGGCTTAATTCAAAATAGACCCACTTCTCAAATCTCAGGGGGCCACATTATCACCTGACCAGTCTCTTCCCTTTCTAGCTCTTTTACGCCCCTGCTCCCATGAATGCTGGCCTTCAACATCATTAAAACCTCCAGCCCTTGATCTATTTATCAGCCTCTCCCACCTAGATTCCCATTCCTACCCAGCCTGACTCCAAAGACCACTGGCAAGTTACCTTCTGTCTGTGCCAGCAGTGGAGGCACAAGTTCCTCTGCCCTCGGGTCCGGAGCAAAATCACAGTCAGACCCAGAGTCAGACAAGAATGTGGATAATGTGGTCTTCCACACAGCTGGATTCTCCATGCTGCTCTCCAATTTTGTGTTTTTTTTTCATCTTTGGCTTCTCCTCTTTTCCAAGATCATTCCACTCTCCTCAAATTGCTTTCCCAGCCCTGAGAGGAACAAACCTAAGGGAGACCATCAAGCTTGATAGAAACAACTCCAGCAAAGGTCACAAGCAAACAATTCACTTCTCAGCTTTTCCCCTGGCTGGCTCACTCCATTGGGCACACTCTAAGTCTAAATGCAACCTTGTCAAAGAGCCCTTCACTGACCTCTGTGGGGAGCCATTCTCTTCCTCTTCCATTCCACACCCGTTTCATCTCCTCATAAGCCACATTACAATGGCAGGCCCTGCCCATCTTGTTCACCACACTACCCCAGCGCCTAGAACACAGCAAGTGTTCAGTAAATATTCCTTAAACACACTAATTCCTACAAGAATACTAGTTGTGATTGAAGTTTTTAATTACTCCTGAACCTCAGTAGCAGCACATTCCTTGCATAAAATTCAAATACCTTTTTCCAGTTTCAGACCACTATTCTTGTCAACTTTTCTCACTACTTCTTTTCACCCTATGTTTAAGTCCAATCATGCCGCCTTCTTCAAATCATTGCCTAGCATCCCCTCAAACTTATTTTTTGTTGTTCTAGTCTTTCCAGTATCTAGCTTGCATTTTTCCTTTCTACCTTATCCCTTATTATTTTCAATAACTTCTATGTGGTCAAGGACACGGTCAGTGACAACATACATGACAGCTGCTAACCACAGGACAACCACAGTTTCAATCTCACCTTGATCTGTTTCTTTTTAAAAACCTCTTTTCTACTTTCCTGTATGTAAGCGAAGATATCCTTGCTCTTACTGAAACCCCTGAGCTTGTATGCAGCCCTACCACTTTATGGTCCTGGACAGGAACTTGATTTTCTACCAAAATACTTGATTAGTCTGTATCCTTCTACTAATACAAATCTCATCACTTTAATGTCCCTGGTCCTTCTGCCAGATTCATATCCCCCCCCCACACACACCTTATTATGCTCCAGAGCACCACTACAAAAGTATTCAGATACCATTTTATTATATACAATTGCATACTGGATTATTCAAATGCAGCATGTTAAGATTTAAAGGAAAACAAGACTTGTGAAAGCAACAGACAATCTATCAGAAATAGCAGTGTTAAACAGAGAATATGGGGGTATTCCACATTCTCACTTGATTATGACATGAGACATAGTTTGCATAAATTCCCCATCACCACTTTCCATGAGTATTTGGAAAAATACTTACGTATATAAGTCCTGAATAATAGCGGTCCTTCAGGTTATGTAAGACAGAAGCTTCATTCAAGCACGTCAACTCTGCCATATCCTCCACCTTGGAAAACTTAGGTGGGTTCATCTTCTGAATGTCATCTTTGTTGACCATCGCTTTCTTCCCATTTTCTGCCAACTCCACCATAACTTCGTCTCCTCGTTCTTCTTTGATACTAGCTGCCTCAAAACCATGGCGTTCTGATGGAATCCACACTAGCTTTTTAGCTGTCCAATCAGCTTGAGTGGCAGGGTTGTAGATGACAGCCCTGTCCACAAAGAGATACCTCTCCGGATCCTCCAGTCCAGTTCTCTGTGCCATTGTAAACAGAAGGATCCAAGAGCAATTGCCTCTAAGAGAAACGAAGGATAATGTCAGATGTCTGCCAAATATAAAATAATTTACACATTTTATTTTTGTAAGAAACAAAACGAAACCCTTAGTAAACATAAGGAGTAAACAGTGAAGGAGCTGGGATATTGAAGTTCATGGGCATACTAGCTGTTTCCAAGGTAAATTTCAGGGTGACCACTAATTGTGACTCTGGTTGTCTGACAGCCATTCAAGATTTGCCCTCAGTTACTGAGGGCTGAGAAGCAGGCAGAAGAAAAAAATCAAAGTTCCAGGGTAACCTCATCTTCTCTCCATCTCCTCTTTCATCCTCACTACAAATTAAACAGGGAATTAAGAAGGGAAAGAAGCAACAGAAAACACAGACCTACAATAAAACAGCCATAGAACTAGTATGGCCACAAAGATACAGCTACAAGAACAAATGATGATTGCCAGAGAGCAAAGAATCATGTTGAAAGCATGTCCATCTTCAGACTCAAAGTTCTTCTTATAGATACCCCAAATCAGTCCCTCTATAGCTTCTCTATGGCCCCATGTGGACATAATGTAATCAAATGGGGCCACAGAAGACAAGCATAACTTGGTGCCACATAACAACCTGACCAGTTATATGGAGGTGGCTATTCAGGTCTCTGGTCCCATCCTGCAGCTGTTCCTACTCCTCAGCATTCCATTGTTCCTCATGATTCCTTCCACCACTCTGATCTCTCACCTCTAGATAAACTCCAATGTGGCCATATCTTCTGTTTCTAGTATGTGGCCTGGAACTAATATTCCAGACATGGTCTGATCAATACAGGAGAAAACAGAATCCTTAGTAACCTCAACCATACTGAGGAAAACACAGATTCTGTGACTTTTACAATTAATGTAGCTTGAGACCTGATTGGTTTATTTAATACTCATTGACTTTTGGCTCATAAGGATCTACCAGTAAAAGCTGCTAAGTTACATCTCCTCTACACTTGTGCAATTGGCTTTCTGGAACAAATGACAGGATTTTATATGTTCGTCATTCACCTTGCTGATGTGACTCATCATTCCTGCCTGACAGTATCTTTCTAGAATATGATAATATCACAAACATTTTTTGCTATTACTACAAATTCCAAGTTATTACAAATTTCAGTTTCCACGATTTTATCCCAATCAACACAAGAAGCCAACTGATTATCTATTCTTACTTTATCAAATCCCATCAACTTCTCCCCCAGCTCCCACCCAACTGCCAGAAGTGGTGAGGATTCTCTGCCGGTAAGAGGACCAATACAAGGCATCCCTTGTAAACTGCAAGGGAAATAATAAGTGATCCAAACATATTAATGGGTTTTTAACTTTGAGTTCACAGATGAACTTCAAGCTCCATGAAATGTGATAAATGTGTTGGACACTACTATGTGTAATATGTGTGTTACCCTAATAAGAACATCCATAATTTTTTTTTAGATTCAAGGGCTATGTCCTACAAGATTAATCACTGATGGTAGATAAAGAGGCTAGCCCTTTAACCCTTCAAAATAATTAAGCAGACTCAAATACCTATGATTCTTCAGAAATTATTTGTTACAATGTAATGCATTACCAACACCTATGCACTAGAGTATCCGGTCTCAAATTCTGGCATACATTAGCAGCACCAAGAAAACTAGTAACATACAGAATGCTGGCCCCAGACCCAGAGCTTCTGATTCAGTAGGTCTGGGGTAAAGCTCAAGAATCTCCAAGTCTAACAAGTACCTAGATGGTGCTGCTGCTGTCAGCCCTGGGCCACCTTTAACAACCACTGCTCCACAGTTCTCTGGCTGCCATGGCCTGCCACCATTGCTACCTGGTAGGTTGAGGCAGATAAAGACTGAAAAGCAATGTTCCAGAATAATTCATTTCATGATTAGAAGAATGTACTGTTGTTTTTAAGGTTATAGATCTGTATTTTTTAAAATCACAAAACAAAGTAAATCTCCCCCAAAATCACAGAACTGTGATTCACATTAGACTTCTACAAGTAAAACTGCTAAGACATTTTAGAACTAAACTTACATTTCCTTCTTAGGCATCCACATGTGACAGAAGTAGAGAAAATATTTGTGGGCCCATGTACACTCAGAAGTATAGTTTCAAAAGCTCATTACCTCTAAGGACAAGGCTTTTAAAACTAACAACAAAGCCGGGAGTGGTGGTGCATACCTGTAATCCCAGCACTTAGAGGCTGAGGCAGGAGGACTGTGGTGAGTTCTAGGCCAGCCTGGGCTACATAGTAAGTTCAAGACCTGCACTACAAAGAGAGACCCTGTCTCAAAAAACCAAAACAAAACAAAAAGACTAATAACAAGTCTTTCCAACTTAAAAACTTAAACACTGCATACTAGTAAAATGGGGGCATGGGAATCAGCCGAGGTGAATTTGAAGACAAACAGGATATACATGGTATCTTTTAGAAGGACAGAATCTAGTAAAGTATCCTACTATAATAATAAAATATGATGTTATTATTCTTATTTGCTATAAACTATATATCCTCTCTTGCTGCCAGTAGGCATGCACATATTTCTTTACCATAGGTATGTAATTATATTCTTAAATTGAGTAGGTGGCTATAAGTTAAAATAATAGGTCCTTTCTAGAATGGGTCTTAAAAACAAATTATATAAAAATTATTTGTAAAAATCAGAACATTTAAAATTGATCAGTAGTTTTTCTAGGTGCAGAAATGCTTGTGATGTAATATAAGAAAAAAACTAAAAAGATTATAAAAATATGACAACATGCTCCTGATTTTGTGCGAGAAATTTATACACACACACATCCTTCTTTTAATGGAGTAAATATTCATTTGGTCTTTACTGGGTAGTAGGATCACAAATTACTTTTACACTTTCAGATTTTTCTACAATGAAACACTGTAGGGATGGTTACCTGTCCCTTGCTGCATCTTGAGCATTTAGCACAAAATAGTGGAGCTATACTTTACATGAATAGTGCCTACCTCATGGTGAGCTTCAACTTCTCCACAACCAAAAACCTATGATTCCTTCCACTCCTGACCCAAATGTCACCCTTTCAGAAGCTCTTTTCAGGTCAATCTGGCAATTTAATCCTCTCCTTCTCCTCACATTTTGTACTGCTCTTTGGGCAGTCTTCTTGCCCTCGCCTGCACTGCACCAGAGAGCTTACTTAGCAGGTAGCAGGTGCTCATATTGTTTAACTGCTAAGAGTTTAGGAGGCCAGTGAAGACGTTTTGTTCAGTTTAATTCCTCACTTATGATTGCCAAATATGTTGTTTTCTCACTCCATTGTACATTTGGTATCTGATCTGGGGAACCCTGGTATTAACAACATACCACTCCCAAATATTTTGTGTTTCTAAAAATACTGGAATTTTAAAAATAGAAAATAGCATTGTTATATACTCCTAATTATGTCCGGGCACTAGGTAGTTTACATATATCCATCCTTAATCCTCACAACACCACCTCGAGGTGGGCATAATTAATTTACAGATGAAGATACCTGAGGCACAGAGAAAGCCAATAACCCACCCAAGGTCACACAGCTAACAAGCAACAGAGCTGCGATTAAATCCGGAGGTCAGGTCCAGAGCGCAGGCTACAATGAAGGAAGGCAGGAGGGAAGAAATTTTGAAGGACATGCAGTATACTATATATTGCCTCTCCACCAAATAAAAACCCTATCAATTATGACTTAAAGAGTACAGGCGTAACTTATGAGCACACTAGCACAATCTGGAAAAGCCTCTATATTTTAAAGAAAAAATGCTTATACTTAGGGGGAATCGAATAAACAGGAGGAACCCTTTGTAAAAGGTAGGAAGATCATCTGCAGATTTGTCTTGGTGTCATTCAAAATAGCTAGCTATAATTAAATCATTTACCTGTGAATGAATGAGCCCCCTACAAACCAAAGCTCCCAACATCTTGATTGGTTTTAGACACATCCCTGGGGCTATATACCTCCAGGTCATTTTACACTTCCAATGAAATTTCACCCTGTAAGCTTCAACTGCCTCCAGGCACCCATCGTGGCTCCAGACAGAGGGGAAAAAATTCAATTTTATGAGGAGCTTACATAGAGAAAAGTAAACAAAAATGACAGGTAAGTTATATAGGATAGAGCATCCTAAAACAGATGAATTAAAACAGAATTGTCCCAATTTGTTTAATGCTAGCTACAATTGAGGTCACTTACATTATAGGACTGTGTAAGTCTGTTAATTTATCAAAACTTTGTTTAAACAAATGATCACAAAACAAATGCAAAAGGTGCTATTTATGGTCTGCACCATCTCCCAATTCATATTTTTACACTGCGCTAAATATTTCTAAAACTTGGATTCCAAAACCAGGAATTTTAATTCTTCATATGTGACAACAAAGTATATGCACCACAGAAGCACATAGGTTTCCACCCTACAACATGCCCTTCAAATTTTCCTCCATCTCACCTTCCGTCCTGTCTCTTCATTGTAATGCTTTCCCTAAGGAGCCTAAATAAACAGCGGAGCTCTCACAGGTCACATCCCTTGCTGCAAAAGCTTGTGCTATATCGCACAATTACACCATATGCTTGCTCCCGATAAGGAGAGGAAGAACTGAATTTAAGATGCAGAAGTGAGGAGATGCATAAAATGGCCACTTTTCCAGAACCTGAGACAGACAGGGCATACTTAAACACCAAAAACATGGGACTACAAGAATAATTAATAGAAACAGATTGATGAAGGCGATAAAACAATGAACAGATTATAAAGTTTTCCAGAATGAGATACCATCAAGAATAATTAAACCTGACTCAATGAATCCTCAGTTTCGATGTTAAAAAAAGACAAAATCTCAGCAAAGGTTAAGTATTACATTTAGTATTATATTATTCGCGAAAACAGCAGTCTTTGTTTCATCTGCAGTCTGGATCTACCCCGCCTGCTTTCTCTTACCCCACCCCAGCCCACCCCACCCCCTTCCATCCACCGCAGTGATCTTGAAGGGAGCTGCAGAGGCCCTAAGAGACACAGATAACGGTAGGAGACAGAGGCCGCGTTACCCAGACCTCACTAGCCCAGGTCAGACCCGCCAAGTCGCCAATCTCTTTCCCAAGGCTCCAGTCCCAGGCAGGCCTGGCTGCCTCCCCGGTCCCTGGGCCGCAGCCGCCCACCACAGGCCCACAAAGCCCCCGCCAATGCCAGCACTCCGCTGCTTCAACTTCCAGTCCGATTTTATGGGATCAGGGTGTGACCCCCAACTACAGCAGATAAGGAAGAGACTGCAGCGAGCCATTCCCAGATCACTCACACAATAAAGAGATCCCGACTCGAGGGCTGACCCTCCCCCCGGCCGCCTGGCTGCAGCGCGCCCCCGCCACATTTCCCGCCTCGCCCCCCCAAATCGCCCAGGCCTCGCCGAGCGTCCACCCCCGGCCCCGGCAGTCACGGGGCGCGCAGCGTGCCGCCCCCTCCCGCGCCCCTTCCCCGGTGCCGGGAGAGCGCGACCCTCCCTGCGGACGGCTCTGGAGCTGCTCGCCCGCCGCGTGCTCCCCCAACCGCGCAGAGCCTCTTTGCCTTCCAGTCGCTTCACCCCACAGGTCCGCCGCCCGCCTTCGGAGCCCTCGGCTAACCCCTCTGCCATGCCTGGGGAGCCCGGCCCAGCCTAACCCTCGCAGGGGCCCTTCCTGTCCAATGCCCCCCGCCACCGGCATCACGCCCCAGGACCTAGTCCTCTCCTGGGAGCCAGACAGAGGCGCAGGGAACCCCGAGACCCCACTGGGGCGCTAGTCCCTCCCAACTCCTGCCGCCAGGGATCCCACACCCCAAGACCTGGTCCCTATAACCGCACCTCCAGATCTGCACCCTCACTCCCCAGGGGTCGCCCTCCCGCAACCCGGGCCCAGATCCCTGCAGGGGTCTCACTCTCTCGGACCTCGTTCCTCGCCCTTCCGGGGATTTCTCCTTCCCCACCCATTGGGGTCCCGCTGTCTCTTCTCCACCCCGCCCAGGTCCCCCATAAGGTCCCAGCATACACGAGCGGAGGGTCCCCGCAGCACAAATCCTCCCGCCTTAAGCCCCCTCTCCCTTCCCCAGCTCCCACTCCGGTTCTGCTCCTGTGCTCCACAGCCGCCGGGTCCCCCAAGCCCGGGATCCGTCCCCTCCCCCCTTACAAACTGTCCCCGCGCCCAGGGCAGCCGCGCTCGAACCCGGCAGGCGCACCTCTCACTCACCTTCAGCCGAAGATGGTGGCGCCCGCGCACGTCCCCGACCGCGACCACAGATCCGGCGCCTCAATCCCAAACCCACCGCTGCCTCCGCCGGGCTCCTTTAGCACTGCTGCTCGCGGCGGCCCCACCCACTCCCACCCTCATTGGGTCAGCTCCACGCCCATCACCGCCGCCCCCAGACCCACTGGTCCGTTTGCGCGCCCATCTCCCAGGGAAGACGTTAGCAACCCGAACGAAGCTACCTTCCCGAGTCGGGTTCCCTCCACCCACCTGGAATGATGCTCATTGGCTCCCACTCCCGGCCCAGACCCACAGGCTCCCAATCTCATAGGCTGGCCCTCACGCCCATCAGAGATTCCGGGAGGTGCGGCCGGGGCAGTGGCAGGCGATTGGCTGGCTCGGGTGGAGATGGACAGCAGAGGCTTACTGGGCGCCCGGCGATCCCGAGAGGCGACGCGTGCGGACCCTGCGACCGCTGGTGTGGTGCGCTGGCCCGGGCCGTGCGCCCAGTGGGTCAGGTGTTATGCGACGGGAGCCCCCAGTCTGACTAGAAGCGCCTCGACCTAGCTTCGGATGGCAGCTGCAGCCTATTCGAGCGCCTAGCCGCCTCCTCTTGCCGCAGCCGGAGTGTCCCGCAGAGGAACGGGCTTTCCGAAGACTCGGGCCCCGTGGCGCTGCCTGCAGGGGCGGGGCCGAAACGCGGTCCAGAGGCCTGACGTCACCCCGGGGCTTGGGGGGGGGGGCTCGGCTCTGCGGCTCACCTGCAGTGGGGGAGGGACACCGGGAGAAAGTGCAGCTCCGCGGGTGTGCCAGGGTCCTGCTGGGGTCCGGCCGCAGCCGGCTGTTAGTACTCTCGACCGGATGCCGAAGATGATGCTGCCTAGGTTGGTGAGCGCCGGGCGCTGACACCTTCCTCCCCTGCGGCGGTTTTAGTGTTAGCTAGGGGAGGGGAGGGGAGGGCAGGGCAGGGCAGGGCAGGGCAGGGCAGGGCAGGGCAGGGCCCGGCCCTCCCGGCCCTCCCGGCCCAGCCTCCGGGCATGGCTGAGATTCCCAGAGAGTGAGAAGCAAACGAGCCTTGGAGAGGACCCTGGAGAAAAAACACTTCATTCACCTCATTCGTTCATTCATTCATTCATGGAGGAGAGCTAGGTTCCTGCAGGGTTGTTGTATTCCCGAGACTGAGCTGTTCTTCCCAGGCCTCAGAAAACATAAGACCTGGAATAAAAAAATAAAAATAAATAAAAAGTTTCCAAAAATAAAGGAAGGAAACTGAAAAATCGAAGTTAATAAATATTTAATGAAATGTCTGCAGTGTCTAGTCAACTACAACATGTATTAATTATATGTGTACAGTGTAATAGTCTTAAATCACAAGAACAAAATAAATTATTTGTCCCTTCAAAAACTTAAGTTACACCTTTTCCAAAACCATTTGCAACAAGATGTAGTTATTTAACATTGGATATATGTGTGTGATTTACACTTGATCTTAGCCAAAAGGCCAAGAAGCGATTATATATGTGTGTGATTTAATACACATGATGTAAGTGCCTAGGAGGCTTCTAGTCTGGTATAAGTAAAGCAAAAAACCAAAACAAGGCAGGAAGTGGTGAGGAAGGATTTGCTGGACTTCAGAGAAAACTCCCAGCAGCTGAGTGCAGAGTCCTTCCTGGGGAAATCGGAATCAGGATCTGTACTGTCCTTTGTCCTGATCCAACTGCCTCCGCCCCCACCTGCCCACTGGAGTAGGTGCCCCTTGTCCAGGTGTCTTGTGACTTGGCCTCATGAAGAGTTCTGTCCTTTTAGTGCACGCTGCACATGGAGTACAAGTTAACCGTGCAAAAGATGTGATTGGTCGTTCTTATCACCATTTTTAAATGTTTTTAGAGAAGACCTAAAACTATCTCTGAGGCCCGAGTTGTCAGTGAAGTTATTTCTAAATGCAGTATGCCATGCTTACAGTGTCCACACACAACTCCAAAAGCCACCAGGTCTGTGGGTTTTCATCATTTTAAAACTTCCTTATAATTTTAAAACAAACTCAGTAGACCATCAGAAAAGGAGGACAGGAAGTTCATCAGAATTAAATTCCACAAAGACATTAGTCTTGATGAAAAATCCAATACAAAGAGAATGTCCCCAAGTGTATCTCTGGCTCCGGCATCTCTCCAGCACTTGGGCTCTACATTTTCTACAGTCTGCTAGATCCCTCTAATTGGATGGGAGGAAAAATGCAAAATGCGAAAACAGCAGGTCTCAAGCCAGTCTTTCTCTGTTTTCACTTCCAAAGTCTCTCTTCCAGAGTTCCCTCGATCTGTTCATGAGACCAGTCTTTAAAAACCTCTTTGCTTCCTTCCTCTCCCTTGAAGCTCCCCTACACCCAGCCCCAATCTCCATCACCCAACGCTCCCTTGTAGCTCCATCCCAGAATCTGCTGCAATTTTGTTAAGGAAAATGAGATTTAGAATCATACAGATGTGGCTGTAAACCCAACTCTGCCACTTCCTAGGTGTTCAACAATGACAAACTACTTAACCTCACCTCCAAAAAAGAAGATACAGCGAGGCATAGCCTGGGCAACTTAGTCACTTAGGGAGATCCTATCCCAAGATTAAAAAATTAGAAAAGGACTGGGAATTTAGCACAATGTGAAGGCCCTGAGTTTAATCCCCATTGCCACAAACAAAATGAAGCAAAACAAAAGAAAAAATGGATGGGGCTGGGGATTTAGCTCAGTGGTTCTATTGCCTGCTTTGAAAGTTCAAGGTCCTGAGTTCGATCCCTAGTACAAAGAAACAAACAAACAAATAAAAACCTCATTCAATTAATATATAATATGATTTACTAAAATATTATGAATAAATAGATTGAAAATTTTCTTTTTCTAATGTACAAGCTTATTACAAAAATGTGAGAAATACTTCTTTCTCTTTAGTAATTTTTACTGGCAGTCTAAACTGCTTTTACCCACAAAAGCCAAAATTCACAGACCATTGTTTTTCAGGGTCCAGGTCAGAAGTCCAGGTTTGTTCCCTCAGGGAAGGTCTAGCCCATTCACTTGTTTTGTTCCAGCTGTACAGAACTGATATGCAGCATTTTTTTATTTGAACAAATTCCAACATTTAAAAATTAAGAGCTTTCCCACATCATTAGCCATTATGAAAATGCAAATTGAAACCACAATGAGGTATCACTTCATACCCCCAAGAGTGACTGTAATCAAGAGGAAAGACAATGGCAAATGATAGTGAGAAACTAGAGAAATGGGAATCCTCAGTCATTATTGCAGGGAATGTAAAGTGGTGCCAGCCACTTTGGAAAATACATAGTTTCTTTAAAAGTTAAATATATTGTGTCCTTTTGATTATAATAAAAAAGAAAGTTAAATATAAATTTACCATATTATACCACAATTCTAAGCTTAGATATCTACCAAAAAAGACAAAAGGAAAAAAAGTGGGTAAATTTTCATGGATACAAAAACTTGCACAGAAATGTTTATGACAGCATTATTCATTATAGCCAGAAAATAAAAACAATTTAAATGTTGATTGACTAATGAGTAGATAGACAAAAGTGGTAGATCTGTACAACAGAGTACCACTCAACAATAAAAAGGAACAAACAATGGTGTGGAGCATGGATGAACCTTAAAAATACTCACCAAGCTCAGTGAAAGAAGCCAGACACAGGAGATCACGTATTGAATCATCCCTTCTATTGAGATGTCCATTAAAGGCAAAGCTATAAAGACAAAAAGTAGATTGGTCATTGTCTGGGATAATGACTGGGGTCAGGGAATAGAGTCAACACAGGAATTAACAGGAAATACACATAAGAGACCTAATTGGAGTGCAGAAAATGTTCTAAAACTGCTTTCTGGTGATGATTGCACAACTTCATAAATTTACTAAAAAAAAAGTCATTGCATTTACATTGTGAATTTTTTTTTTAACAGATGGTTTAAACAGGTACTTCAGTCTGGCCTTGAACTCGCTATGTAGCCCAGGCTGGCCTCCAACTCACGGTGATCCTGTTCTAGCCTCTAGAATGCTGGGATTATAGGGGTGAGCACCACCACACCCAGGTACTCTGAGAATTTAAGAGCTATCACATGAAAATCAAGATTTCTAGTTTTCCTTAAAAAACTGGAAAATCTGGACATTCAGCAAACACCTGTGGCATGCCTTAAAGCTGCTGTTCATTTTTAGACAAAGAATTTACCCCTCAGGATCCTCAGTTGTCACCACTCCCTACTGTCTCTCAGTTAAGATTGACCTGACTGACTCACTGAAGTTATTTGCCTGGTCTTCTTTTTCTTTCTTTCTTTACTACCCCTGTGGTGCTGGGGATTGAACCCAGGACCTCACATACACTCAGCAAATGCTCTACATCCCCAGCCCTCATAGGCATTCATTTAAATTTTGGTAAAATAGAGACTCCAATGGAGCCAAGAAAGAAGGAATCTTCCAGAATTTTATTTGGCTTCTTAAGCTCTGGAATTTTTGATAATCCAGGAGAGTTCCTGAAAATTACTAATTTAAGGGCCGGGGATTTAGCTCAGTGGTTCCACTGCCTGCCTCACAAGTGGAAGGTCCCGAGTTCGATCCCTGGTACCAAAAAAAAAAAATTACTAATTTAATATTTGTTGTCAACCATGTAGGAGCTGATTAAGTCAAATTTAATTTGATGTAGAAAAATTGGGGCTGGGGTGTAGCTTGGTGGTAGAGCCTACCATGCTTGGTGCCTTGGGTTTAATCTCCAGCACTCAAAAAAAAAAACAAGAGAGATAGTAATAATCATACTTAAGGCCTGATAATCATTGCCTTTCTTACTTTACAGAAATCCACACTGTGACAAATGCTTATTGAGAATCTTCTGTGTCTAGAGACTGTGCAGGGGGTTAAGGAAATGCCAGTACAATTATGGTCCCTATCTCAAGGAATATGCAATATGGCAGAACTGTAGACCGGCAGGTAATGTTTTTCCTTGAGATAAGGTCTTGCTATGTAGTTCAGACTGACCTTGAGCTCACTATTAGCCCAGGCTGGCCTCGAGGATAGGTAGATAAATTTAATAGAATAGAGGTTTTTGATCTGGAGTACATGGAAACCTAAAGGTTTTAGGGATTCTGAAATTATCTGCAAAGTGCATTGATGAGATGAGAAGTGTTACATCAGAATGGTCATGGGGAGAAGGTAGAAGACAGTTTTGGAAACTCTTCTTAGAGGAAGTAATGTTGAAAATATAACCTGAAGAAAGTTGGGCATGGTAGCATATGCCTGTAATCCCAGCCCTCAGGAGGCTGAGATAGGAGGATTCCCATGAGTTTGAGGCCAGGCTGAGTTATCTGGTGAGTTCAAGGCCATCCTGAACTACATAGCAAGACTCTGTCTCAAATAAACCAAATCAAATGAAAGAAAGAAAGGAGAGAAAAAGGAAAGGAGAGAGAGAAAGGAAGGAAGGAAGGAAGGAAGGAGGGAAATATCATTTGAAAAAATGGGCATTAACCAAAGAGAGGAGAAAAATTCATTCTGAGAAGGCGGAAGTGTGGTGAGAGATAGAACAGAGGAGGTATGTAGGCTAGACCAGGTGGTACC